AGAATAGATGAAGCAGAGGCATTCCCAGACGCATTCACCTATTTGATCTTTGACAACGGGCCCAAAAACATACATTAAAGGAAAGATCGTCAATACAACAAATGGTGGTGGGAAAATTTGCTGTCTATTTGCAGAAGATTGAGGCTGTATCTACATTATTCACCATGTACCAAACTAAAATCAAAATCGATCAAACATCTAAACACTACAACAGAAACAAAGAGTCTACTGTGAGAGAAAACAATTAAAATACTTGAAGTCATAGGTATAGGCAAGAATGTTCTGAACAGAACTCCAATAGCATAAGAAACTGCAAGAAAAACAAATGTTCAGAATTGGTCTATGTGGCTAAAAGTGAGACCCAGGTCATGCTTCCATCACAGTAAATATTTACAGTGGTGACAATGAGGCCTGTAACATTTTACCTAATACTGACTGAAAAATGTTGACTTTTCAGTATTAGAAATGAAAGATTAAGGAATGATACAGAATCTAGGTCATGTGCCAAAATACCAATACTATGTACAATTCAAATTCTAGGCTCCAAAAATGTATTGCTGGACGAAATTGGATATAAGACCACGGTTGTCACTGTCCATAATTCAAGTGGAGATAGAAGAATTGTGGCAAGTAGGTGCTTATGCAGCTGAACTATAATCAGTGAAGTAGAAGACCTAGACTGCCTCACTGACGACTGTGTATTTTATAGGGCAGATGGGATGGCTGAAGTAAGCTTCAGTTCTTTTGAAAAGGCCTACTCTGAAAACAGCCTCATTAAAATGGCCCTAATTAAATCAACATGAAATTTCTTTAAAATAAAATTCACTTAACTTTAAAAAAAAAAGAAAAATAAATGTTGCCAGAGTAAATTCAAAAGCTTTTGCACAGCAAAGGAAACAATAAACAAAGTAAAGACATAACTACAGAATGGGCCAATTTTTTGCCAACTATTTCCCAAGGGTCAACAATCTAGAATATATAAAGAATAAAAAAATCAACCCTTCCATGAAAGATCCACTTAAAAATGAGAACATGAAATGAATAGATCCTTGCCAGAAGAAGTAAAAAAGTGTCCAAGAAACATGTGAAACGAAATCTCAACCTTGCTGCCCATTAGAGAAATGCAAATTAAAGCAATGCTAAGATTTCATCTTACATTAGGAAGAACGGCAAGCATCAGAAACCAGATAACAAGTACCAGCAAGGTGACAGTGGAAAAGA